TTAGGTTTGTGTGCCTAAAACTTAATTAAGTAATAATTAATAGATTAGAACAGAGTAGAAAGACAAAAACATTAATTAACACTGAATAGATTTCATTAGATTAAAAAATTAGGTTTAAGAAAACAAGAAATTAACATTAATTAGTTCAGGTAATGAAGATCATCCATCATATCCAACAATATTACAGAGAGTACCATGATTGAGTTTCAGCATGTGATTTCATTCACTTACTTTTGCTTTTCTTTTCTTTTTTCTCCATGCTTCTAGATGAGTCTTTGACCCTTTCTTCTCTTTTATTTTTATATGTAATAAAGTGAAATTTTATATAAAATCATGTTTAAAATTGTAGTATAATATATTCTATACATATATTTAAACCGATGTAGTTAAATATTATTTATTTAATTAAATTATTAATATTTTTCTCTTTTATGAGAGAAGTCATGAGATTCTAACCAAGTGTGTTAATTAATATATATACATATATATATATTATTACTAATATATCTACATAATTTTAACCACATATATTATTTCTTTAAAATATAAAATATGTAATATATTATTATTATTATTATTATTATTATTATTATTGTGAATCAAATTATAATTAGTAATATATCATTAACAATTATAACAATTTACATGAGTTAGATTTTTGAAATTATATTAATGAATTTTCAATAAAAATTATAATTATTTTTGGTAAGATGATTAGGAAAAGGAAAGCAAAATAGCAAAAGTCAACTTAAAAATAAAGAAGATATAATTATAAAATTAAGGGATGATAATTGACAATTACAATTAATTAATATTAACACGTAATAATACATAATATTACAACTAAAATATCGTTGGAAATGGATTTAGTTCTTAATTATAAATTCAAATAATATATATATTTTTTTTTTGAAAATTAAATATCATGTGATCTAATTTCGTAATTATGTTGTATAAAATTATGATGGTCTATAGAATCTTGTAATATAAATATTATAATTTTTAGGGTTTTGTTTTGGGTCACAGAAATATTACTTCATATATATATATATATATATATATATATATATTTTAACTGTTGTGTTTCCAGATTGGAAGGCAAGAACAGAGTGAGGTAAGTAGTGGTTTCCCTTATGGGGGCATAAACTTTGACAGAACACCTAGTTGGTGTGAATAAATTTTAGGTAGGGTTAGTGGACCTCATTTTACAGCTGAAAGAGGGATTGCCCTGTCAAAGC